CTCTCTCTCTCTCTCTCTCTCTCTCTCTCTCTCTCTCTCTCGTTTTCGTTTATTCGTTGAACACGTATATGATAACACGTATCAAATTAACTATGTTAACCATATTTGATACGAATGAAAAGATCATTCTTTTTTTATACTTAAATCTATACGTATAAATATACGTTTGTCAAGATTTTGTATGTATACATAATTGTTGATAGATAAATCTTCAATACGCGATCAATTGGATTCGATCTTTTTTGTATCGATCAAATTTTCTATTCTTTATCTTTCTTTGTTAAGTCTAATTTGGTATCGTTTGCCGTTAATTCAACAATAAAACTTTGATCAGTGTTATTACGATATTAGTTGCGTTTATACACATATACCACTACTTATATTCTTAAAGTACTCGATTAAATGTTTCTTTGGTAATACATATTTTTTTTTGGTAATAAATTCCAATATGATCGATACATTATTAGTATTTTATTACGAATTATCTTTGATGTTATTCGTAATACTCATGCGCGATGCTCAATTTTCTAATAAACGCAATCTTCTTCGTTCGGAATACTTTCAAAACAGAATTTTGACAAAATTCATAGTCCAATTTGCTTGTTATTGTATTTTTATATTTTTCGCTTGCACGTTTCGAATTCATCGTATCATCATTATTTCAAAGCGTCATAATTTTCTCTTTAAGAAGTAAGTCTTCCTTTCTTGACTAGATCGTATGTATGTTAACTTTGTGTGAACCAGAGTATTGTTTGATTTTTTGCAATTCTCTGTCTTTCGCTTGTTTTCCTTTTATTTCGCAATCACAAATAAAGATATATATTTGTATATCAATACAAATAATTTCTTTCCGTTCCGATTAGTAAATTGTGTTAGTAGTCTTAGACCTCTCCCCTTTGAATTGTTCCCTTGATTAGCACGAAAAGCGAAGAACCCTCCACCATCTGAAAGAAATCAAGAGAAATACCCCTGGTATTTCTTTACTATCTGGTATTAATGTAATTTAAAATAATCTATCAATCATTATCGATGAATTTTTTTTTATTTTTTCATGTATCATCGATTAATATCAATCTCTACTTTCCAGCTGTCTTTACTTTTAATTTTCTATTAATTAATAATAATTTATCAAATATGAATCATTGTAATCGGATAACTTGTTTCTATTATCTATTTATCAATTATCATTTTAAATAATTGATTACATTAATAATTGATTACACGTATAGATTAATCAAGGAAACTAATTAAAGAGATAGCTTGTTTCATGTTGCTCGAATTAAAACCGAATTGAACCAATGGTTCAACTTCGTACCATTTCTCATGATTCTTGTTTAAATTAATTTTTTGATCTTTCATAAGTACACAAATAATAGCTCGTACACTCGTATATTCATGAATATAAAGATGCTTACTATAGAACTCCTGCTCTTGTTTCATCGCGACGTGACACATGCTTATGCGCCGCATTGAACTTCCCAGTCTGGAAAGAGAGACGGTTCATACATACGTATACACGTATCGCGAGATTTCGTCGCTTAACCGATGCGAATCTCTTGTTTGTTCACATTCTGCTCAAGTCCGAGAATAGGATATCTAAACGAGTTCAAAGTTTTCTTTATAACAGTATCTCACTTTCTACTCACCATGTACAATTGGGCTTGGAATTTTAATTAACACTGCAAGAAGGAAGCTTCTTTGCGAAGCGTCCGCTCAATCCTACTCTTGTATCGCCATCTTCAAATCACATTTGACTCTGTCGGTGATATTGACAAAAGCTGAATAGAAGGGCGAAACAATTCCAATGAAATATTGTACCATATTTTTCCAATAGATGGCGCGCAAGACTCGAACAAATTAATATATACATTTTATATACACATATATGAATAAATACATTAGCTTATAAAATATATATATATAAATTTATATATTTATTGTACATTTATTATATAAATTATATAAATGATTTATTATATAATATATGTATTACAAATATTTATATATTTAATTAAACGCTAATAAATCTTTATATCTAATTTATTTTTACGAAATAATATTTTTTAAAATTAAAATTCAAACTGTCTCATTTAGGATTTTTTTATTGTTTTTTTAAAAAATATTTTTAAAAAGTGGATACAATGAACAAAAATAAAAATAGATTTAAATGTATATAAAAAAGTATATATATGAAAAAGCTTTGAAAAAGATCAATATATATATTTATATATATATATATATTCTTTTATATATTATATAATCAATAGTAAATATTTTTTGATCTACATTTAACGAATTATAATATCACGAACAAGTCATCTGTGATATTGAACGAAAAGATACCACAGACGACGTATAGGATAGACATGACATGCTATGCTTTTTCGTGTCTTAAGAATTCGGGAGTCACTTGATCTTTTACCATTTTCGTGTCACATGCGACGTTATCGATATAGAAAATAATTAATAATGGTTAGAATTAAAATCTAAATTTTATAAAAATTATAAATAAAATTATAAATAAAAATAAGAATCAAAACATTTGATGACAAAATATAAATTTATATTTCTCGATTTATTTATCCTTCTACGTGTATAATTTAAATGAAATCAATTAATTCTGAATAAAAATAATGTACTCTTAAATTTTTTCGGTTTTATCGAGTTTTTTAGCATATGTAAACAAATTTTTAAATACTATTAATACAATAAAATTGATTTTTTTCTTTTATTCATGAAGATTAATTAATATATTTTAATACAAAAAATTACTTTCATAATTACAAAGAAAAATTAAAAAGAAAATATCATTTAATAATTTTTATATGAAATATTATTAAAAATATGGAAAAATATTATATTATTTTT